TTCTGGCAGGTGGCACGTGGGCCGTACGCGAGGCGTCCCAGGGAGAGCCCCTCCCTCGAGGTCGGCAGCGGGTTCGCCCGAGGAGGCTCGGCAGGCAGTGCGTCGGGTGTGACTGGGCCAAGGTATGGCTCGGTTCGGTGTGCAAGCAACGACGTAAAGATGACAACTCGGCGGTCCAAGCGGATTTCTTGGATCGGCGCAGGAGGCGCCGTTGGGGGGCTCCGGCGCCGATCCGAGGAGTCCGCGCGGCCCGCCGAGTTGTTTTGTGTGCTGATGTCGCTGTTTGTTCCCCTATCGGTCAGGACACTTGTGAGAGGGCCCTGTAACTTTGGCTCGCGCTTTGGAGGCCCCCACGAATCTGAACGCGAGTTGTTGCTAACACTGTTGGTTGCGTTGTGTCGTCGTCTTCCTATTGCAATCTGGGCACGCCCGCTCGTTTGGTAGCCGCTTGCCACATCGCCCCCTTCGCTGGGGTCAGCTTTTGCTGATAGGGGCGCGACTCGCGACTCGACTCGACTCGACTTCCCCTCCCCTCCCTTGTCGTCCTTCTCTTCGTCCTCCATCTTGCATCTACTTGTCCCACATGGTTCCCTCACTCTCCGATACTATCTCCAGTCGCTGCTTTCCTCGTTGGCGACTCTTTGATGAAGCTTTCGCCATCGGAGGTCGACCTGCGGTTTTTATCATGCGTAGTTTCTTTCCTTCCCCCTTCTCACATCAGCCAACATTGACTCCAAACATATATGATGACAGGAGGAGGACGAGAGGAGGATGGGAGGAGGACGAACGGAGGACGGGAGCAGGACGGGAGGAGGACGGGAGGAGCAACATCAAGCAAGCGCGAACAAGCAAGCGGAAGCAAGCAAGCGCAAGCGAGCAATAACAAGCAAGCAAGAGCCAGCGGTCAAGTGCCAGCAAGCAAGAGCAAGCAAGCAAGCAAGCAAGCAAGAGCGAGCACGAGCAAGCAAGCGAGAGCCAGCAATAGGCATAGGCATAGGCAAAGGCGTAGGCATAGGAGTTAGGGGGAGGCATCGCACAGGCATAGCCATAGCCATAGGAATCAGGTAGGGCATATGGATTCGGGGGGGGGACAACGGACCAATTAGTAGGGGTTGAGTTAGAACTCCTATAGGGCAAACCTACGTGGAGGATTCGTAGGGTTTGAGTTCGAATTCCTACAGGGCAAGCCTATTTGGAGAGCTTCCTCCCCCGTTGCCCAATCCCAGGACGCAGAAGAGGAAGAAGAGGAGGAGGACACAACGAGGTCAGCTGCAGCGTCTCGGAATGCTTGGAAGCAGAGGGGCATGGATTCGTCCAGCACCAGGTCCACCGAGGACGCCATTCCATCTTACAGGGACGAGGAAAGTGGTTCGGCGTCTGCCAGGGCCAAGAAGACAGGAGCTGGTATTGCTTCGACTGACGGTGGTGTGCCACGCAGAAAGAAGAAGAGGGGCGGGCGTGATCGGGATGGCTAGGGCCAGGGTTGATGAGTCGCAGCACGCACATGTCTGACCCGCCTTGGGCGTGCGGAGCGCGCGTCAGGTGGAGTATGAATAGCGGGTCGGCCAGGCAAGTGTCTAACAGGCGTGGATCCATGAGTAGTGTAGCGTGTGGCTTAATCAAGATAGCGCATGGTTGTCACGCACGACATGTTTCAACTGTCTAATGAGTACGTATGTGCAGACGTGGAAACACTTGGATGTACAACTCCGCAGGCATTATGCACTGGTATGCGTTCTCATTATCGGGGAGGCATGATTGAGGGAGAAACCACGCAATGTGCTTCAAGTGTCGGAATAGACTGCAGCGGAGCGGCGTGTCACCGAGCAGCCAGAGCAGAGGGCGTTGCGCGTTGCGGCTTTATTGAGTGCAACCCTAGTGGTCAGGCAATGTGCGGATCATCGGGCCTTCGGGCGTGTAGTTACCAAGCGTTCAAAACAGAGGAGGCGCCAGATGAGGATGATGAGACAGGGCGGTGGGGAGGAAGGGAGGAGGAGGAGGGAGAAGGAGAAGGATAATGAGAAGATACGACAGCGGGGAAGAGAAGGATCAAGGGGAGCAGCATCAGTAGCGGTACGCAGAGGAGCAGCGCAGGTGCCAGAACAGCAACATAACCAGGAGACCAGGGGCAGGAGAAGAAGACAGATGAGGAGGGGTGGGAAGGAGGAGGAGGAAGATGAGGAGGAGGAGGAGGAGGAGGAGGAGGAGGAGGAAGAGGAGGAGGAGGAGGAGGGAGGAGGAGGAGGAGGGAGGAGGAGGGAGGGGGGGTGTATTGGAGTGTTCTGGGCGCCACAGCCTACCTGGCGAGGGGCACTACCGAAGAGCGCCAGGCACCATGCGACGCGACGCGAATGCTGGCGCCGCGCACTGCTGGCGTCGGCCTCCAAAACATGGGCCAATGGGTCATTGTGGCCAGGCCAAAGACCTGGCCTGATACGCCGCCCCTGAAGGTTCTCAAGGCCCTTTTTTGTGAGGGGGGCGTACTCCTTCATTAACCGTCTTAGGTCACCTGTGGTCGAATGCCCGCAGTAAGCACAGAAGTGGAGCGAAAACTTAGGCCAGTAATGCAGGCGATGCCTGCCGTGAAGGTCCCGCCCTCCCACCGTCGCCACCCCGCCAGCCCGAACAATCCCATGCCCAAAGGGCTTATCACAAGGCTCGCCAGGCACAACGGCGGGGCAAGGGTTCTAACAGCTTTTTTCGTCGGCGGCGAGGTGGGGCAATCCGCACCAGCGGAAGAGCGAAGAGGGGCACTACTAAGCTATTTGTCCGGCGTCGTGCAAGAGCGCAAGGAGGACAAAGGGGCCGCGGGCGGAGGGGGAGGAGGAGGCGCTCAGAGGCGGAAGACTTCCACCGCGAGCGGGCTGGGGCGGCAGCAGCGGCGCAGCGGCGGCGGCCAGGGGACCTGGGAGCGCGCGCTGGGCGGGCCATGGCCGGAGGCGCGTGGCAGGGCAAGGGGAAGTCGTGCGAGACTGGAGGCGCCCAGGGACAGCCGCAAGCAAGATGCTGTCGAGCACTGCTCGTCAACTTGTGCGCTGCCAAGGCGCACTCGTGCAAACTGCGGAGCCCGCGGCTCGGCAGGGCGTCCGGGGCGGCGCGAGGGGGCAGCAGTTGGGCCAGGGGCGCGGCTGCGAGCGCCTCCGGGGGCGGAGCGGCGGCGGGGCAGCGGGCGATCGGGGCGCGGGCCACCAGTCGGGCGAAGAGAATTATGCACATGCACCGATCCTGGCAAGGCCCATCTTTGACCCAGGATCGGTGCATATGCCTTCCTGGCCAAGGTAGGAGGGCGTATGCACCGATCCTGGGCTCAGGATGGGCCTGGCCAGAATCGGTGCATGTGCATAGTTCTTTTTCCTCTCACCAGGGCAGAGACGGCCGTCCCCATAGCAGCGAGGGTCAATGCGGCGACCAAGGGTGCCAGGCCCGAAGACGGACTGCACCACGGAGTGGGGCCAGTCCGGGAAGCGGAGGGCGCGGAGCGGGGGCAGGGCACTGGCGGGCGCCGGGGGGGGCGCCAGCTGCCGCACTGCAGTGGGACGCGAGGCGGCAGGGTGAGGAGGGAGGCGGCACCGAGGCGCGGCAGGAGAGCCGCGCCGAGGTAGCACGCACCTGATCGGTGCGGCAGGTCAGGGGAAACGGGGTCACGCACCGCCCCGACGGACAGCGCGCGACCCAGGCAGCGAGCCGCGCGGCGCGGAGGCGCGCGGTGGCGGGGGGGGGCGGAGGCGGCGGGCGAGCACAGCAAGGGAGCTGCGGCGGCGGGCGAGGGGAAGCCAGGTACGCCACCGAGCGCGAGAGCCAGGTGCGCCACATGTGAGGCGCAGGGCGAGCCACCTCACATGGTACCTGGGGCCGCGGCAGTCTCCAGGTGCGCGTCCCGCAGAGAGGGAAGTCGCGCGAAGCAGGGGGGCCGCCACGCCAGGAGCGCAAATTGCGGCCTGCCGAAGTGAAAGGGGCTCACCTGGTGGCCCGCACACAACACCGTAGATTTGGCCCCCATAGGCGCTGCAGTGGACAACGGGTCGGGCCAGCCAAGCGCATCGGTCGAGCCTGGCCCTCTTGCTCAATAAGGGCCGCGTGCGCCAGCGTGGCCACGGCTGCGTGCAGTGGTGCAGCGTGCTCCGGGCCCAGGCAGCGTAGAGGTCACGGTCGCGCTCCGATTCGATTTGAGCGCTCTGATTTCTGACGTCTCCGCCCTCGCAAGGTGGGGCCCGCTGGTCTCTTTCACCGCCATCGCCGCCCGAGCCACTGAGCGTGGCAATAATTCGTGGAGGCAGGACCCCTTGGCCTTCGGGGCGGCCTGGAAGGGCCGCCTCGGGACTGGAGGGCTGTCCAGGTGCAGGCTCGCCTTGGGCGCCCTGGTTTCTGATGCCGCCGTCTCCGCCAAATGAGGCCCGCTGATTTGTGTCACCGCCATCGCCGCCCGAACCCCTGAGCGTGGCAACCGATTGGGGAGAAAGGACCCCCTGGTCGTCGGGGCGGCCCGGGGGGCCGGGTGGGGGCAACCTCGGGCCAGGAGGGCTGTCCAGGCGCACGCTCGACTGGGGCGCTCTGGTTTCAGACGTCGCCGTCTCCGCCAGGTGCGGCCCGCTGGTTTCTGTCACCGCCATCGCCGCCCGAGCCACTGAGCGTGGCACTCGCCCGCGGAGAAAAGACCCCTTGGCCCTCGGGGCGGCCTGGGGAGGCACACTCGGGGCCAGAGGGCTGCCCAGGAGCCGCGGCCAGGCCGACGCCCGCATCAACCCCCCGGCGGAGCCGACGCCGGCAGAGGGCCACCAGGTTCTCCTCCACGATCCCCCTCTCCTTTTTCCCCATATCCTAAGGATTGGGGTTCTTGTTATTACTCTGACGCCTCCCACTCCTCCTCCTCCTCCTCCTTCTTCCTCCCGCTCGCGCCTCCCTCCTCCCAATGATAATCACCAGATAAGACAGGACAAGATAAGATACTACAAGATAAGATAAGATAACACAAGATATGATAAGAAGAGATTTCAAGATAA